TGGTTTTGCAACATCTCATAGGCAACTTCTGCAATCCATCTTCCTGCTTTCATACCGCCCATTCTCGTCTTTCCATTGTTAGATGCACATTCTCCCAGAGATTTCTCCATCCCAGGGGAATAACAAGCTGCCTAGTTATGTAGGTTTACACTGAGAGACAAGCTTTTGCAGCAGTTGTATAAATGAATTATATCACAACTGGGATCTGAATGAAGTGTGGAGGTAGGGAAAAAGTCTTTCAAAAAAATGGTCACAAGTAATCCCTCTATATAATCCTTATTTACAAGCTGAACAGACTGTAAACTCTCTGCAAAATTACATGGTATCTACTAATTGTTCTGGATATACAAGAATTAAGTTTGTCTCCAGGTGACCTTCATTAAAGGTAACCCATTTACAACTCATTCACGTGCTTCACAACCAAATTCAGTCTTACCTATTACATGCCTAAACTAAAGGGCAGGTTTGAAAAATATCAAACCTCTTTGTAAGTAAATCCTAGATGACCACCTGTTAAATACATTTACCCAATTCATTTGAACACAACTAAAATCAGCTGGGCTGGGACCATCTTGCAACAATCGCCTGGCCTCAGATGGATACCACTTCCAACAGGGACTTGTTCTTCACTGTCAGAGAAGTTTGAAATGTATTTTTCTTAGGGAGATGGGTCTCCTTGCAGTGGGCTTTCTGGAATGCATTACTGAAGATGCCAATATGAGGAAGTACAGACAGCCTTAATGTCCTTTGTACCCAATTTCTGCCTTGCGACCCCTCTTAGCTTGATAACTATTTATCTAGGGGTTTGTGGTTTTTTTAAGTCAGGTGGGACAGTGTCTCAGGACTTCAAAACCAATTCTCTTTTCAACTGGCTAAAGGTAAGGATCTGTTGAGGCCACATACTCTGAAAAAAATATCCAGAAATCACCGTCTCCTTTTTCCCTACTTCAGATAAGTTGATCTGACCACTTACTTACCCAGGAGCTCTGGCAGCAGGAAGCCTAGGGAGATAGTCTCTTCACTATCCAACCTTCCTCCTTACCCATTTTGATTTTGCCTGCCCTTTCCCCATGCCACTCTGAATAGATTTGGGTGTAATGCTAGCAGCCTTTGCTCTCCAGATCTGTAACTTGCTGAAACTCTGCCAGCCTGCTAGCCACAGACTGCGACGCCAACCTCCTCTCCTGCACAGTCCTCCACCGGGCACCATGAGAAAGCACTATAGGAGTTACAACTAACGTTTGAAATGCTCTGTTACGAGACAACACACCACTACTGTCCCAAAGGATGCAAATAGATGTCTCGCACATGCTGCCCAATGCTCAGCATGTGGAAGCACTTAATGCTGAGCAACAGCTACCACCTGATCAGATTCATTTTATGCAGGGGCAGCCAGCACTGCCTGCCTGCCCCTCCAGCGCCCTGCTTAGAGCAAGACCATGTGCATCAATCTACCCAAAAGGTGGTTGCTGTATAATGCAAATTATTCTGATTGCTCAGGTGTGCATGTGACTGCAACAGCAAATTCCAGCAAGGGCTGTTGCTAGTGAGTAAGCAGCCAGGTTGGAGCTCTGTGCTCAGGGAGCTGGCAAGCTTTCTGTTTGTATGTTGCTACCTCACTAGTTTTAGATTTGCTCACATACACAAAAAACCGTTCATGCCTAGCAGCCAAATTGCATTCATTTTGCTTTTCCAAACCTGCCTGAAGCCATGAATTCATGAGCAGCATTAAGGGGAAAGAAAAAAAAAAAAACCCCAAACCAAAAAAAGGAATGTGGTTTGTATGATTATCTTTCAATTTACCTGCCAAATGCCCAAGTTCTAATATGCAGGCAATCCTTAGCTAATTCATTTCTGAAGTTCATGCACATGTTTCTATGTTACCTATACCTGATCCTCCTTTTCTAGATAGCACATACACAACAAACAACAATTTTAGAAAGTCCTGTGGCTGTTCTGCTGGCATAAATGTTTTACTTACTTGTTGCCATGTTAATCTCAGCCGTTCAAATTGCTCCTTCCCATCTTCTGAACAATCAGAGCAAGTAAATCTGAAAAAGTTATCTCCTTTGAGGTAGCTGAGCTGTTCTCTCAGTTGACCTAAAATGAATAGGCAAAAATCAATTCCTTGGTCCTGTTATAGAAAAAAGTACTGCAAAGGAGATTTGGATTTCCTACAATGTCAGGCAGAAAAGTACTTTTTGCCTTTTCCCCAGAGTCCAGAGACCCAGACAGTTCCCAGCAAGCGTCAGACCTCGCTGTGATGGAAGGCACAGATTCATTTCACACTCGCAGCAGCCAGCAGTGACCAACTGGAAAGCACAGGCATAAAAAAGGGGCGTTCTAGTTAATATCTGAATGCAGGTACAAAACCAAGGTACAAACCTTGTTTCCGCTGCATTTCTCATTCCTTCTTACTTCCCCAGGTTAACCCATATACTTCAATCAATAACTGTTTTCCCACTCTACTATAAAAACAAAGCTGACCTGTTAAAAAAAAGGTACTGCTACGGCAAAGGCCGTCAGAATATACAAGCTTTCTCTTCCATGCCATCTTTCCACTCACTGCTGCATGTATTTACAGCTGGCTCTTTTCCTGTCCACCA